ATCAGCATCATCAGGGATGGGAGAAGTTTTGTAAGGACATTGTGTTTTAGAATGAATGTACCAAGTAAAAGTGGCCTGATTTTAGGTCTGATTCAAAGCCCATTGATGTCAGTGTGATTCTTTCTATTTCCCTCAATGTGGTTCAGATCAGGCCCTTTCAGAGGTGCAGAGTAACCACAATTTCCACTGAGGTAACCGTGAGTTATTGGGTGTGCAGCAACTTTGAAATTCTACTCACTTACTAACTTGCATATTTTTAGGTTCTAAGTGTGCAAATGTAGATATAGAGTTTGTGTTTATATGGTATGTCTACTCCTTCTTTTAACATTCTGTTAATGTTTTCCCCTTTTCCTGCTACTTGTATTTTGTTTTGTGTTTTCTTTTCACCTTCTTTACATTTAGAAGCAAAACTAGGGTTGCAAAATTGTTTAGGATGGGTTATCTGTTGGTTTTGTGGAAGACTGATAGGGATTAATGTGTATCAAAAATGAGTAAAAAGTTTATATTATTTCAATAAAAATATAATATTATAAATACAGTTGAAAGGTACTTATTCTGTCCATGTCTGACCTTATCTTCCATATATTTTAATGCATTAATCAGATTCCATTTATAACTCAAAGATTCAAAATGACCCTGTGTATGAATTGAAGAAAGAGAGGTTTCAGAGTAGCAGCCGTGTTAGTCAAATAAATTACGCTCAAATAAATTTGTTAGTCTCCTTTTCTTTTTGAGGAGTTCTTGTGGCACCTTAGAGACTAACAAATTCATTAGAGCATAAGCTTTCGTGGGCTACAGCCCGCTTCATTGGATGCATAGAATGGAACATCTAAGGTGCCACAAGTACTCCTGCTCTTTTTTGAAGAAAGAGAGAGAACTATATATACTTGTGATTAAAATCTACTGAAGTTAATCAGAGACCTTCCATTGACTTCAAAGGGTATTGGAATATACCCATACATTGCTTCAAAACAATGCTAACAAACTTGTTGGATTTCTGATATCACAACCCCCAAGTGCCCAGAGGATCAGAATGCTAGTAAGTTAGGTACTGTACAAGCACTTAAAATTCAGTTTCTGCTCAAAGATTTTGGAGTCTAATTTAGAACGCAACAAGAATCTGTAACAGAGACAAATCACATTGATTTCCTTTCCACTGTTGCATGTGAGAAAGGGTATCAGAATCTAGCCCTAATAATTGAAACTTGAAAGTGAACAATTTTTCGTTCTTCTGAAAAAGTAGTCCAATAAGTAAAGGAAGACCATATATCAGTGCTAGTTTTTTTCCAAAAGATCTTAATAACAGTTGGGCAAATTAATAGTTTCTTTATTGTTTGTATTGAGGGTAGTGTCCAAAGGCCCCACCTGGAGCTAGGGCAAGCATACTAGATGCAGTGAAAACACAGAGACATTGTCCCAAAGAGCCTGCAATGTCATTTGAAACACAGTGCAACAAGTTAGCGTGGCAAACAAATGCAGAGTAGTGACAAGTTTAGTATACATAACACAATGTCAAACAATGTAGTTTTTCTTATGTGAAACTAATGTGATGTTAGAAAAAAGCTGAGGGTAGCAAAGATAAGATTGTTAGTTATTACACCATGTCCTGGTTCCCAGTCACATGACAAATTTTAGTTTCAAAGAATAAAATGTAACTAAAACCAGCAATTCACAATGGCTGCCCAACCTACGCAACTTTCATTTGCTAGGATACAAATGCAATATTTTGTTTTTGCATTCTCTGATCCATGGTTTGCTTTGTCAATGGCATAATTAATTACAATTTCTGAGCTCTTAGACTACAAACCTGGTTGTTTAGTTTTTTTTTCCTTCCACAATTATCTTGAAAATAAATGTGTTCAATGCAATCCTTACAAATGTATTGGAATAGCATTTCAAATACATTTGTCAGCCAGAATTAAAGTCTATACAATCAATTAATGCAGACATACCCTTGACCCAAGGCTTTATTTCCCACATAAGCATAGTGATCTGCTCCATTTTGTACCAATCCAAAACATGATTGCATTAAACAATTTAGTAAAAAAAAGTTGTTTTAAAATATATGCTAATAACCGACATAGAGGATACATGGAGAAAGACACATGTAAACTGTACAATCATAGCTGAACAAAAAGTCTGAGAAAAGCAACAAACTTAAAAGTACACTAATGCTATGGATAATTTTCTCTGAATTGATGTGCCTGAGTACCGTGCAACTATTTAACAGTTTAAACATTATTCACTTACAGGCATTTTGTTCCCAGCTCTGAACGAGTGCATGTAGGAAAATGGGAGATGGGCACAAAGAAACTTGACACTAAGACAAACTCTTATGGGTAGGGTTGGCAGAATTTGTTGTTTGTTTGTTTTATAATTTAGACAGATAATGTTGTTTTAAGCATTTGTTCCAATTTTATCTAAGTAAATTTTCAGAGTTGTGCAAAAATAGTGGGCTTTAAGATGTTTTTCAGTTGTTATTGTATCACATTGTTCACGGTTGTATTGTATGATGGGGGTATCAGACAATAACTATTTAATGACAATAGATATGGATATTCAAAAAATGAAAGTTTTATAAACTCGGAAGAAAATGATCATGAACGTTTATGGGTCAATCAATGTCCTAACAGATAAAGGCCAAGATAGGTATTAATTGGTATCTGTCACAGACCACCAAATCATACTGGGGAACAGGATGACAACCTCCTTATGCACCTATCGATAATGTGTAGGAAACAAAACTGTGTGACCGTGGGGGACTTCGGTTAGTGTGACGTACGCTGAATGTCTCATGCTGCCAGTACTAAAACAGCCTTAGAATTTTTAAACATTATAGATGACCATTTCTTTACTCCAAAAAACTTGTGACCAGCAAAGGGATGTTCTTTATTAGACCTTGCCTGAATGCAGAAAGAGGACCTGATCATAGAACTAAAAAAATATTGGTAGCTTAGGTACTAGTGATCATGACTTGATCATATTTATAATGTGCAAGCAGATTAAAATCCAGACCATTAATATATGTAGTTGGTTCTTTAATAGGACATTTCTGAGTGCTGAAAAAAAATTGAGTCAAATCAGCTGGGAGGAAGGATTTAATCTGAAAAATGTGAGTGATAATGGGGAAAATGCCTTTACTAGATGCCAACCAAAATATATTGGTCCAGATAAATGGTAGAATTATCAGTAATAATGCAGAAATGCAAAAGTGTTCAATAACTATTTCACTTCTGTATTTAGGGGGAAAAGATTATATTGCCTTATCATAAGGTGATAACACTATTTCCATTTCACTGGTATCTGTGGATGATGTTAGAGAAGCTACTAATACGAGACATTTTTAAATCAGCAGGTCCAGATAACTTGAGTTCAAGTATTTAAAAAGAGCTGACTTAGGAACTTGCTGGGCCATTAGTGTTGATTTTCAATAAGTCTTCTAGCCCAGGGAAAGTTCCATAACACTGGAAGAAAGTTAATATTCCAATTTTTAAAAAGAGTAAATGGATGACCCAGATAATTTAGGCCTGCTAAAGCAAAATAACAAAGCTGTTGATACTGGACTCTATTAATGAAGACTTAATGGATGTGATATAATTAATGCAAATCAACATGGGTTTATGTTGATCCTGTTAAACTAATTTGATATCTTTTTTATGAGATTGCAATTTTAGTGATAAAAGTAATAGTGTTGATGTAATATATTTAGATTTCTGTAAGGAGTTTGACTTGGTAACACACAATATTTATATTTAAAAACTAGAATGATATGATATTAACATGGTACATGCTAAGTGGATTAAAAACTGGCCAACCAATAGCTCTCAAAATGTAATTGTAAATGGAGAATTGACAATGAGTGGGTATGTTTCCAGTGGGATTCTGCAGGGGTTAGTTCTTGACCCTTCACTATTTAACACACCAGAACATACCAGATTGCAAAGTACACAGTCTGCCTGATACTATCTACTCTGTTCCTTTTTTCTTTAAAGATAAGCGGAAAGTTGTGGATCTTAATTTTGCCCTGTGGTTATGGTTTTCTGACACCAGATTTTATTTTTGCAAGCTCTGTATTGCATCTGCAATTATTTGTTTTTTGTTTCATTGAAACAAAACTTTTTGTATTATTTTAGAGGAATACAACTATAATTAAAGAAAATGGAGGTATGGTAGAGGACAGGCTGAAGATGTGGTCTAATATACTGTGAAACTGGTATTGTAAATGGCCTATCTTGTTATATGATGAAGAGCATGTTTGCTGAAAATTAAAAGCCAGATATACCTACTTAATACCCCCTAGTAAGTAGGATGAAAGATGGTTAAAGAAGGTTTAAGGAAGTTTCTTACAATAAAAAAAAATACTCTTAGTGTACAAATCAGTACATCAAACAACTTAGTTTTTCTGGCAGTGGTGTTTCAGGAGTGAATCCAAAGGCAGATCTTAAATCAAGGTTCATTAATTATCTTTCACGAGGGGATTCATTTATTATTTTCTTTTACTATTTTTGCATTAGGCTGTGTGTTTATCATCTTCTTGTTTCCTGATCATTCAGAACATGCCATTTTGTCTATTGAGGCAGAAGAGAAAATGCATGGGCCAGATCCTAAAAGATCTACCTGCACAGAACTCTCATTGATGAGGCCCTAAGCAGGAAAATCAGATGTTGAGAAAAAAAGCTTTATTAACAAGAGGTGTTATATAAAATAAGTAAAACCAGGGATCTTAATTTTCTCTGGGTACTGCTTATGTGTCTGTCACTGTGTTGTGCTGGGTTGAAATACAGCAGATGAAAGCTCACCTAAAAACATTGTAACTGAGCCTATTACTTAAAAGGAAATGGTACCCTGTAGTTTAATGGCTAGTGGGAGGTGGAGCTGAGTGACAATCTAACAGTAGCAAATTAGGTCAATCAGCAGGGTTTTTACTTACTACTTTTAGGCAACCTTTAGAAAAGAATGAGTACAGACATTTATAGGAATTGCTGCAGGTAGAAGAAGCAGCTCGGCACCATGCAGGAACATGCTGTAACCAAATGCTATCAACAATAACATAGTTAATAAAGAAGGATTTGGCACCTGGTGTTGCACAAGTAACAGGCAACTGGAAGGAAAACACTTAAATAAGAAGAGGGCTATTCTTGAAAAAAGATCAACAAATAGGTAAGAATGGAGAGGAGGAAAAGGGTAACAGAGGCAGAAAGAATGGAAAAGTAGGTGAGGTCAAGTTACCACTGAGTGGTATCTGAGATATGGCAGTTGTTTCTTAGGGTGAAGCCTTAATCCAGGAAAGTACTTAAGCATATGTGTTTTCTCAATTACTTCACTGGGAGTCCTCCTGTGCTTCAATTAATGCATGTCCTTGAATACTTTGCTAGATCAAGACTTAAATGCATTATCACAGATAACACTATATGAATTTTAGTGGTGAATAGTGACTTTTTAATGGTGATCACCATCTTAATTGCTATCCACTCTGATGCTGGCCATTCTAATGTATAGCACTGGGCTATGAGGGAACCAAATGTCACAAAAGCGCATTAGTTGTTGCTAGAGGTACATATAGTAAAATAATGCAGTTATAATGCCAATGTTCCATCCTTGTATCAAAATGTAAATTTGGATTATTCCTTAGCAAATGGAATCCTGTAAACAATTTCAGCATTTAAAATGGTTGGAAAAATATTTCATACTTCATAACTGCAAGTTAATACCTAATTTGTATCGTTGTAATTTCATAGCTGAAGTACCTCGCCATTCTATACTTTTTCTTCGTACGTTTACAGAAATGTATTTGAAATAAACTAAAAAAATACTCATGAGATCCCTGATCCTGCAGAGACGTATATGTATGCTTAACCTAAGCACTGAGAGCAGTCCTCGTGAAGTCAATCAGAGTTCCAGAAGTGCATAACATTAAGCATGTTTATGGTAGGGGCCTAGGATTCCAATCCTGCCAAGAGATCCCCTTGTGTCCATTGACTGGGATTGGATTCCAAAGGGGTGTAAATGTTTGTTTGGATTTCAGATTGCAGAATTGTGGTCTCAGATTGCAGGATCAGGACCTATGTGTGTGCCCTAGGCATATAATACATAGTAATGATACTGAAGCTATATTGCACCATTAGATTTTAAGCAGAATTCCCCATTAGAATTAATGAATTCTGCCCATAAATTGATGTCATGATTTACTTATTGTTAACTATATAAATCTCCATAACCATCAGCAATGCACTCAGGATGTTCTAATTACCTCATAATTAAGGTAAAAGAATGAAATCAAAAACATACAATATAAAAACAAAATATAAAAATCCATTCAAAATGGTGCCAAAATATTTCCCCAGGTTAGTCTTCAGTCTACGTGCTATGGTGTTACCTTAAAAATATGTTCAATCTTGCTGGAAAAGTGAGCGAGGAGGAATGACTACGTGTCTCATGCCCTTACCAACACAGACCGGGTAGTGGCTGATAAGACTCCGGACAAATCCTTCAGCAATAGGTCTGAATCAGGACCCATCAGAGTTCTATGTGCGGCTGACATGGAAACAGTTTTTCATGACATTGCACATAATGTATTCGGTACGCTATTGTCAGCACCATAACTCAGACAGCTCGTGAGCTAGTAACACGCAATTTATCAAACGCAATAGTCAAAACTAACAACTTACAGAATTGTCCGGCTCTACCAAAAGGAGGACAGGAGACATTTGAATGGATTTAATCAGGCCACAACTTTATTATTAGATGTGTGGGACTACCTGGCAGATAAAAGTGTACAGTGCAGGTAACCCCATGTTCATTCAATAATTGCCCAGGGGCTTCCGCCAGCTCCCTCTCTTTTTCCCTTCAGGTTCCTCCAGCAAATCCATTGCTGGTACTTTACCATCCACTCCCCCTCATAGGAGGATTAAGGTGGGCTATAAGAAAGGGGGATTAGTTCTGTGCTCTACCAATCATAGGAGTCCCCATCCCCACCCCCTTCCTTTAACATCTCCTTTTTAAGTCCTTTTCCAAGCCACTTATCTGGCCACTGTATATCTTCCCTATGGAGTACCGGCACTGGGCGTCCACCCGACACTTATATGATGAGTTACGACATATAACCTACCACCTTTCATGCTATGCATGAATAAAGCCCTTCCTGAACCCACTGTGGGGAAGTCTTGACCAAACCTGGTATTTCACCACCTAAGGGGAGTGAGGGTGGGTGCCGCCTCAGTCTGCTATGCGTAAAAGGTGGCTTCACTCTCAGGGTAGCCCCTTTTAGACCCTTCCACCCATCTAGTTCCCAGGGGATGAATCAGTGCCGCTACACTGGCCCCATGTTCCCTTTTGCATCAGTTTTCCTCTCTCCCACCTCCACACCCCTCAGCCATAAAGCACTGTTCCCTTCATTCAGTCAGCCAGACAAATTCTCCCCTCCCCCGCCCCTCGGCTCAAAGGTGTAGTGGGGTGATTGGTAAAATAAGCTCCAAAAGTCTCCAGAGATATTTGCTGCTTTTTGCGGGTGGGTGAATTGCTATCCAATCTTGTGATTTTAGAGTTTGAATGGAGAAGTGGTATCCACTCTATTGGACTCCCCTTTAACAACAAAAAAAAGGCCAAAAATTATTCATAGAAAAAGATTTTACAAATATATTTTTGGTTCAGACTGCAGATGGGTTGAAAACCCATTCAAAGGAAAGACGGAAGCATAATATTCTTAACTGTGTGCAAGTGAATATTCCCATGGACGTTGCCAGGACTATTCACATGCTTAGAGTCTGGTTCATGGATAAGTATCTTGCTGAAGTGGGGCAGAGAAAGGAAAACAAGCAGAAAGAAGAAGTAAAAAAACAAATAACAGAAAAAGTGTGGGAAGAGGAATAGTAGCACACATAGGAGCATGAGAAAAAGGAAGTAATGGAAAAAGAAACAGGCAAAATGAATTAGAGAGCCAGACAGCAATACTAATTGAAAGACAGAAGCAAGGAAAAGGTGAAGAGTATGCACTTAGAGTCCACTTCAGGAAAGCGCCTAAGCTTGTGTTAAAACTCTTGCCTCAAGAAAAGAGACTCAGGCAAAACTCCTAACAGTTTCAGCTGGATAGTATCACTGTGTATGCGTAACAATCTAATCTATCTATCTACAGCAGTGTTTCCCAAACTTGTTGCGCCGCTTGTGCAGGGAAAACTCCTGGCGGGCCGGGCCGGTTTGTTTACCTGCCGCGTCCACAGGTTCGGCCGATCGCGGCTCCCACTGGCCGTGGGTTGCTGCTCCAGACCAATGGGAGCTGCCGGAACTGCCAAGGGCCAGTGGGAGCCACAATCAGCCAAACCTGCGGACGCAGCAGGTAAACAAACTGGCCTGGCCCGCCAGGGGCTTTCCCTGCACAAGTTGGCAACAAGATTGGGAACCACTCATCTACACTAAAAAACAACAACCCAAACCCATAAATGGGTGAACAGAAATCTAGAAAAAACAAATTTCTCTTGCAGGTTTGAAATACCTAGATATCTCTTGGCCGCATTTTGTGGATTCTGTACTTTTTGTAATGTTTTGAGAATATTATTTTATAAAAAGGCTGTTTTGACTCAAAGCTATTTCACAAACTGAAAAAAAAATCTCCTTACCGTGCAACTCCATTGAATATGAGTGATTGACAATGACTTACTGGGTTTCAATTATGATCAATAATTATTTACCTCTTGTATAGCATTTTCATCTTCAAAATTTTTGTACACATTACCCAATTAGACAGATAACACAAAACAATCCTGTTTGAAACTAAAATGGAGAATTGTATCTTGAGAATACAGTCCTTGCCAGTTCTCATGAAGGATTGAAATGACTTTTTTTGAAACAGTTCCTTTCAAGGTATTACTGGAGAATGCTGGAGGAATTAATAAGGCATTGGCTTCCAAGAGCTTAACTCAGTTTCTTTATGCATTCCAACCTCTTCCATCACAGTTCGAGTGGGTGTGTTTGGGGAGCAGGGAACGATGAAAGAACTGTATACGTTGTCATCCTTTTTGGACATTACTGGTGCAGTTCACTGCAAGCCAAGAGTTGTAAAATCCACAAAGACATAACTCTGATGGAGTAGCAAGAAACAGTGAAGTGAGCTGTAGCTCACGAAAGCTTATTCTCAAATAAATGGGTTAGTCTCTAAGGTGCCTCAAGTACTCCTTTTCTTTTTATTAAAATGCAGTGCAAGCTCTTTAACTGAGGTAGGAGCCCTATACTGAGCCATCTGATGAGGAAAATTTGTAGCCACTACTAATGTAGGATGATACAATATGGTATAAAGGTCAGTATCTCACTATCAAGACCCTAAACCCTTATTAAATCCAATAATTCTAGCAAGCGACAGAGTTTGTTAGAAAGATCTAAAAATTGGCAGACAATAGTCAGTAAATAGTTAACCAGTGGTCAAATAGTCACTTTAACTACATTATGTTTTGGATCATTTTATTATAGTTTAGTATGAAATATCTCCATATTGGGAGGGGAACAACTTAGTTACCTAATTCAACATACAACTCCAAAGAGGGTCCAAGCTATCATTTAAAGGTATTTGCTATGTTACTGTTTTTGATATTGCTCAACTCTTTTAGGGTTCTAAATAAATCATAAAAAATAACTCAAGTGATATCTTTGTCTTCAGTGATAACTAATGTGAAGAGTTAACTGTGAAAATAATAAAAGAACATAATATTTTCCATAATGGATCAGATCATTGGTCTATCAAGTCCACTAACTTTCCTCTAGCCCAGGGCTAGCCAGATGCAGTGGAGCTGTTATATAATAATGGTGAGGGTGTTTTCACCAAAATTACAGGTACTGTGCTTCACAAGGCATTATGAATGGCAAGAGGGTGGATAATGATATATAAGGGTTTCCCTAACCTGAGCAATTTGTATTTTCTGTTCCCAAGAACAGAAGTAACACATTTAAATGTGTAAATTTTTAATTTAAATGGTGCAATTTCATCACCCAAGATTGAGCAAAAAGCAGATCAGGAGACTGCAGTATCTAGCTTTTAAAGGCTCTTCACCTATAATTCACCTGCAGCATCGTGAGACACGACTTTGTCCTCTTTGAGGAAAGCAGTGTTTAGAAGCGGAATGTACAATCTGCAGATGGAGCTGAACAAGCATAGGGGGCTGTTCACATGGATC